AATATTGCTGTAATAAACTAACTGATCTGCCTGCAGTTAATATATTTATTAGATAAATATCAATATTAGATAAATATCTCTGTAATATACAGAGTAATCAGACTGCACTTCATGACGACAATATTAGAGCAAACTTATTATCACTTTCCTCAGCATCCATAAAATTACTAAATCCGAATTTCTCCTTATTGCTTTACCTAAAAAAATCAAATGCAAGTGGAATGCTTTTAATCATGTTTAAATAACAATAAATTTAATTTTGCTGGGCTATAAGAATATTTTTATATGCAAACCTGAGTGTCGATCCATTATAACAACCCGCGCGAAATTCTTTATAAAATAATTTAATAGTCAAAAAAGTAGAAAATGGGAGTTATGAGAATGAGAGAATGAGTTTTTTCTTTATTTTCAGCTAAACTTTTCATTGATTTATGTTTTAGAATTCGGTTCCTTCTGAATAGCCTGGTTCATTGCGCTAGTTTTTAGGATTTTGGAATTATAGGAACAAATAGTGTGCAGTTGTTAAAACTGATTCTAAAATTGTGCAGAAAGGTGAAGAATATAAGAAAATGCTTCAATTTCCCCAACTTTTAAGCGATGTGAAATTCAAATTGAAAAAGTTCTGTTTTCCTGGCAAATTCAGTAAAATAAAAATTAATTGTAAAATAAAAATAAAGGAATTTTCCTGAGTCGTAGAAGGATTCATTTTTTCGATCAGTAATTGACGATGATTTCGGATGACACATGAATTCTGAGCAGTAAATAGGTTCTTATTAAAAAATTAGGTTCTTTTATTACGGCATCACGACGACGCTGTGCAATAATTGATAAATTGTAATAATTTTCCTAATAACTAACAGTATAGTAGAATATGTTATTTGGCTTAAAATATTACTTTGCCGTTGAGAGACTATACTTAATATACAATATTATGAATAAGATGGATGAAAAAATAACAGAAATGTACTTCTAATTATACAGTAGGTTCGAGCACCTAACGCTGGCGATAGTGAATGATGCATATACAACAGCACATGTATAGTATATATGAAGAACTTTGGGAAGATGAGTGCATTTTGAAATGTAGGGACGATCAGTAAATTTTTTAATACGGGGGGGGGGGATGAGCTAATTTTTTAATTTAGAGACGATGAGTGCATTTTGTTATTTTGGGACGATAAGGGCATTTTGAAACTTAATTTAATTTTCCGATTCACTCAAAATTTGCTCTCAAAATTCTTACCCAAAATTCATAAACCAGATTTCGCTTTGAAAATTTATTTCCGCCCAATTTTCTCTGCTCTTAATACTCCGGGTTCCAGACTAGCTTAATTTTTAGTTTTGGTTTTGAACTGTCTCACCACCAATCAATACACGGTAGACAATAATTATATGTATTGCTTAAAGAATTTCACTAATGTTCAGGACTTGACTATATATATGACTTCATTTGATGTAGAAATTTTTTTTGCCGATTTACACCTTCCTGAAACTTTTGATGTCTGCCTCAATTCTGCCTCAATTCTATGACCAATTGTCAATGACCGAGTCATGGATCTAAACCACAACTTTTTAAAATCTCTTCTTGAATTACGTGTTACAAACTAATTTTTTCCCGTATTTGCTGGCAATTTTAATAAATAAATTGATGGTTTAGGCATGGGCCTTTTACCGGCCTTATTTTTGCTAAGATTTTCATATGTTTTCACGAGGCTACATGACTGGCCACTTATCATCTTGATATTAAGCCACTATTATATAACCGATATATCGAGGACACTTTTTTAATTTGCAAGCATCTCTCTCATTTAGGCCTTTTCTTTGATTATTCCATTTTAATGTCCTACACAAGTCCATCAAATTACCATGGAGTTTGAATCTTACAATAGTTTGTCTTTTCTTGATTGCAGTGTTACAAAATTAATCAAATAGCTGTTTTCAGACATCTGTTTACCGAAAATGGAGGTTTACCGGCATAAGCAACATCTTTTTTAGCCTTTGTTATCTCTGTTTCAAATTAAATTGGATTCAAACGTTCATAAACCGCGGATTTCTTATTTGCTCTACGTTCCCAGCCATGCGCTCAGAATTTGAATTTTCACCTTTTCAATAAATGAGTTTCCGTCGCAATTGGTATATAATCGAATTAAGGTATTTATGTCTAAGCAATATTCTGAGGTTGTTTCCGAACGTGACAATAAGAATTAACGCTGTTTATTGTTCATTTCTTTACTTTGGTCCCGCTTCGGAGACTATGACTATATACGGAGTTGAAAGTTTTCTTCTCTAAATACCTCCCAAATGTAAATCTTAATGTATTGCTGGTCAATAATAATTGCTCCTCTGCAATCGTACTAGTTTATCAATATAGTTTTGCGTATGCTAGTGCGCATCTGCGTATGTCAGTATGACATCATGCAATTTTATACTGCCCGCGGAGTACAAAGGAAGGAGTTTTAGAACAGGAAACCTGCTTAATTGTGCATCCCCCTCATTCAGCAGTACGTGTTCATGCCAAGCATTGCAAAGTCCCGGTGTCCGATAGTGATTTTAGAATTTTAGCCTCCGGCCATAGCCGGTGTTTCTGACCTACGAATTTTAGTCCTTTTTTTAAACAAAAACCTAGATTAAATGCCACCTACAGTTCATTAACCCTCGAAATTGCAAATTGCTGGATTTGTCTGCTAATGTTTACCTCATTTTCATTTGATTTCATATGACGATTTATGTTTTAATATCTTCAATGTGAATTTTAGTTTGCTAATTGTTTGTACTTATGTTTTAGGTTTTGAACTGACGATGGAGCGGGACTGCGAAACGTTTTCTCTCATAAGAAATTGTGAATTTGTTGGCTGTTTTCTTTGTTCTTAAATTCTTGAAATTCTCACTTCCAATGTTAATAGTTTCGAAACTCTAAAATTTTGTTTAACAGTCAAATTTCACATTACCGAACCAAAATGTTTAATTTAGTAATCGTCATGTACAAAATTAATTGAAATGGTCAATATTTTTTAATCTCGTATTATTTCTTATGATACTTGCATTATAAAGTTTTTTATTCCCCTTATGCAAAATTTACTATTAATCACGATAAGATATTTCTTCAATTATGCAACCAACGTCAAATGAGAGCCTAATTCCTTAACAAATAAATTAGTGAGGATCCATGCATGGCCGGATGCTGGAAATACCTTCAAAACATCAAATAAATAAATTTCATTTGGAATTTAGTTTAAAAAATCTCCACTGGAAATTTTCTTCGTATTCACACAATGGAGTGTGAATAATAAATTAAAGCGTTCATATATATAACCGCAATATAATGCATCGTGTTGTCAAGCGCTTTTAGTATACGTGTATAATATTATTTTATTTAGACTTAATTGGGGTAGAAATATTGAAAATTCTTCTCGTTGCTCTGCGTTTCATTGGTAGAGCTTTAGTTTCAGTGATGCATATCATTTTTTGTTCTTTTAACACATGAGATCAAATCAGCATTTAATTTTTTAATTGCATATACCCTTTACCATTCATAATTAATGTATGTATATTATATACGTTCTAACATAAAGAAACGCGTCCTGTCAAAATAAAAGACGCGCTATGTTCGGGAACATCCTAATGTTTAATTTATATTTAATTCATGCGAGGCATTAATTAGTCTGGGAACAGAACTTCAGATTGCGATTATTTCAACAGCCTTAAAATTTCTTGAAATTAATCTCTGAAATTTTTTTGATTGGTTTTCAAAGCTGAAGTGCCATTTTTATTATTATTATTATTATAGTTATTATTAATTATTATTATTATTATTATTATTAGCATTATTATTATTATTATTAAGATTATATATTAACCCCATTAAGAGCTAGGGGATATATCTTCATGGGGATATTACCGGAATTTCATACATTTTATGTGAGTTTTTCTTCATTCAACCATGCACAACAAGACTGAAATTCCATAAGCATTTCCGTAAAAACTTTAATTTTCGTCAAACAATACCGAACAGTTCAAAATTGTCACCGTCTATATTTTGAGCATAATTATTATATGTTGATTGCTTAAAATCGAATGAAAATTTTCTCATTCTTGCGCATGTTACTTTTTTTGTCCATTATTTTAAAATTTTGTTGTAATCGTTGCCTTAAACGTTTAATCGTCTTAAATGTCGTTGCTTGATTAAGATAAAAATTTAAAAAATCAACATAGAAATTAGGAAGCCCTGCATGGACGCAATGTATGTGAACAATGTGTGAAACAATAACTGATATTTGTTGTAAAATGTTGTTGAATTGGAGAAATTCACATCACAAGCTGCGGCACTTATATTTTTAGGCTGCAGGTATGCCGATTAACAATAATAAATTAAAAAACAACAGTTTTAATATAACAAAGTTCAGAAAATTTCCAAATATAAAATATTATATTTGTCATGATATTTGTTGTCTTTATGTTTTATATGTTTCATCGCGATTGGAGAATTGGAAAATTTTCAGTGCATCATTAATAGTATTTTATTAATGTTTCGGTATCAATTAATATTTATTAATAGATTTTTCCGCCTTGTTTTTTAGATTGACGCGAGATAATTCATCTGCCTCACAAACTCATCACGGCGTAATTTATTCAAACAGCCAGAATAAAAATTCGTAATTTATGTAAATCGCTGATCCACTCAAATCATTAAAACACAATTCCTATATTTACATTGATTCACAATGCTTAAGAAGTGCTTACTATAATAACAATTAGGTAGTAATAAATAGGCAGAAAATATGTTTGAATGTTAATAAACCTATGGACGCCATACTTCTACGCTCTGCACACTGCTCAGCTTGGCGGTAATTTGTACTCAGCGAGGGAGAGCGACGCCGTAGACTGAAGTATTTTTCCATCCCCTTATCCAGAACTGAACATCATAGAAAATTTATGTGATGCTAAAAATAACGAAATTTTTGGGGTAAAAAGCTGAATGTTCTAAGTTACTGTACACTTGCCTGTTTTTTGCAGCAGCCGCTCTGTCTCGTTGTCTTCTGTTCTTAAACCAGTTGCCGACTTGTGTTGGGGTGAGACACGTAGCTTGTGCTAGCTCCCTCTTCCTGCTGGGGTTGGGGTAAGGGTCCTGTAAGTACGCCTCCCTCAGAAGGGTCCGGGTCCTCTCCTTAAAGCAATGTGTTTTCTGCTCACCGTCCCAAATAGTTCGCGGGAACGGGAACTTCTTGCGGACTCTGTACTTGTCCACGGGACCTAGAGGCCGGCCTCTGAGCCTCTCTGCCTCCTGGTAGTGAGCCTCCAGCCACAACGCTTGCAGGCGCCCGTGAGAGGCTTTCGTGTAACGTTGAGACTCCAAAATTGAATACATTTCTCGAAACTGACCTAGATGAAAACAAACGATTGCTCTGGCTCTCTGCACGGCCTCGTATTTGCTTAGATCGCGTAAATTAGGATGAGCTACCGGCAAGGACCACAAAAATCTACCTAACCGTTCGATGTCGCCACTTTCTTCGAGGGTCTCGCAAACTGCCGCGACCTGCGTCGATGAAAATGAGAGGGACGGCAATGCAACGACGGGTGTGGGCACAACAGGACCTGTGGCCCCAGCACTGGCGGACAAGCCTAGCACCATAACAGCGAGTAACACTGCAAGTCACTTGAGCGACATGCACTCCGCTCAGCGCGTCAATACACTATGTTATAAGCCAAATGTTACTCGCGCGAGCACGAAGCTGCTGTCACAGCCCAACGATCGCGCCTTACCACACGGTAATGAGAGCGGCGCTGAGCCTGCGTCGCCCAAACTGCGGAGGCGGACGCCTGGCTTGGCTCGTCCGACCCATTGGCTGAGCAGACCGAGTCCATCCGCTTCGTCAAGTCTATCGAGTTCCGCTCATTGGCCGGTGCTGTGGCTGAGCCCCAATAGAGGAAGCAGCGAAGCGATGCTTTGATTGCTGCTCAAGTGAAGGACGAGAAGAGGCGGAGCAGCAACGCTCTTGCCTCTCTCTCAAATGCAAATAACGGGGTATTGAGTTACAGAACACATTGTTTTGTGGGGCGTGTTTGACATTTCAGCGGAGACACTTCAGGTTCAATGAAGAGGCTACACCGCAAAATGGTCAGAATAAACAGAACTCAGGACTTGACTTTTTCTTGGTCGCACTTGAGTTGAGAGATGCGTCTTACATTTCAACGCGGAATGTGAACGCTGCCGATCACTTCAGGTACACGAAGCTCAGCTCACTGAGCTGACCTGCAGCTCGACCATCGCTCAGCTCGAGCCCTGCGACTGTCAGCTGCCCTTCTGCGAGGCGCTCCCTGGCCGGCATAGACGTTGAGATGGCGTAATGAGGACTGCTCATGTGAGCAGACGGCTCATGTGAGCAGACGGCTCATGTGAGCAGACGGCTCATGTGAGCAGACGGCTCATGTGAGCACACGGCTCATGTGAGCAGACGACTCATGTGAGCAGACGGCTCATGTGAGCACACGGCTCATGTGAGCAGACGGCTCATGTGAGCAGACGACTCATGTAAGCACACGGCTCATGTGAGCACACGGCTCATGTGAGCACACGGCTCATGTGAGCAGACTGCTCAAGTGAGCAGACGGCTCATGGTGTGCGTGTCACATATGGCACACTGCTCATGTGAGACGTGACTGCTCATATGTGCGTATAGGACTGCTCAATTTCAGGATATTCGGACGGCGTGAAGAGCACAATGCACTCAATCGAGGGAACATGCATATATATATTATTTAACCCTCTGACTGCTCCATCATTTATGAGCGCATGTGAGGGGTCGAGGGCACTCGGCCGTGTGAGGGCAGCTCATGTGAGGGGTCGAGGGCACTCGGTCGTGTGAGGGCAGCTCATGTGAGGGGTTGAGGACACTCGGTCGTGTGAGGACAGCTCATGTGAGGGGTCGAGGGCACTCGGCCGTGTGAGGGCAGCGCATGTGAGGGGTCGAGGGCACTCGGTCGTGTGAGGGCAGCTCATGTGAGGGGTTGAGGACACTCGGTCGTGTGAGGACAGCTCATGTGAGGGGTTGAGGACACTCGGTCGTGTGAGGACAGCTCATGTGAGGGGTTGAGGACACTCGGTCGTGTGAGGACAGCTCATGTGAGAGGTTGAGGACACTCGTTCGTGTGAGGGCAGCTCATGTGAGGGGTTGACAGCGTTGAGAGGAGAATGTTGATGTAAGGGACGTACAACATCAAGTTTCGTAGTTCAACGCAAGAGATTAAATGTCATTTAAATGTTTTTTGGTGTTGAAATTTGACTGAGTCAGGCTTCAGAGTTTTAAATTTAGAAATAAAGAAGAAATTTATGAGTGCCTTCCCAATGTAGCATCAAAGAAGCGGTGCAAAAAATGTTGTGCACAAGTGAAAGAATTCAGTTGTGAAGATAACCGTAATTTGCAGCAACGTTTTGACAGTGATTACAATTTGGCCGCATTATTGTAGAGTCAGCGGCCAGAGAGCGCTCGTTGCAGAGATGCGGCAGCTGTATATATATACAGAGCATTCATATATATGAGAGCAGGACATATGAAGGCGCGTTGCGTTTGGCCACATTAGTGAGCGTTCCAATTAGACGGCGGCAATGGCACGCCATTAGGCCAAGAGATGGAACCTGATAAGATCCTTGCAGTGATAAGACTATCGGAGGTCGCCCACATCAGGCCTTTTATAGGTTTGTTGAGCGGCGTTTCAAACAAAGCCTCTAATGACGTGATATCGCATGGGGCGCTCTATTAACGCGATAACGATGAGCAATTATTCAATTGCAATTTATCGCTGGGGACATCGCACGCTTGAGATCACGAGAAGGTTTCGTCGCGCTATTTCTACATCGTCATTCTAATAAACAAAGCCGATGGAGCCACGATCGCTTCGCTTCATGTCAAGAGAAAGAAAAAAAAACTCCGCCTTGATTTTACCAGAGATTATTAGGTACATTTATGGTCTAATACGCATCGTTTCGCGAAATATGTTTTTATTTTAATTTGATTTTAATACGTTCCGTTTTGGCAATTTAATACTCAGGGTTTTGATACACCATTTTCTGCGACGGATAACTTCAGTGTTTTAATACTTGCATGCTGCGTGGGCTATAACGTTAGAAATAAGGTATGCTTTAATTTGAACTTTTTTACCAGTTAGAGACACCGGGAGTGTGGCTACGCCGCGTAATTGAACGTATAGATTAAGGTCTTCCAATGCTCCGTTCCGTGTAGCATATGGCTCCGGTGTTTCAATGCGTCGTCATGAACTATAGCATGCTCATGATGTCATCGTAAGCTTAGTTCCGTGACACAGTTTATACTATTCTAAAATATGACGTATTTCTGGGCTTATTTATTTGTCTTTCATTCCATGGTAACCGTATATTGAAGCCGTTTCAATAATAAAGTTAACCTCGCTTCGCGCCGTAGCTATATATAGGTTTATGCGTGGGTTTTCATATTCAATGCTTCGCGATCTCATTGTTACGTGCCTTTTGGTTTGGTGAGAAACCATGAGCTACCGTGAAAAACCAAAACTCAACCTTGTACTGCAGCCTTAATTTGTTGATTATATATACTCCGTCGAGTACTTGTTGGAGTCGTGTTGTAGAGGAGCTTATGTAAGTTGCAATGGTCCGCAGCCTGAGTTACAAGGTAGCATATGTGACTGCTGCTGAAAACATATGACGAGAGTTTTTCATCAGCTGATTTTGCACGCTAGAGTCAAGGTATTTTAATCAGTCAAGAATTAAAACGGCTATTCCTCTTTTCTTGGACAGATTTTTAATTAATCATCCTTATAATCATAATAACACGAAAAAGTATTGAGACTTTTTACTTATTTTCTTCGACGAATGAAAAGTAGCGTTCATCAAAGTGTTCAAACCGAAGTGTTATCGATTACATGCATTTGAAATTTATCAACAGTTCTGGCTGCCTCCTACGCCAATGCTACATCAATTTTAATGTACATTGAAATGAAATTTTTCACAATAACGCCTTTAGTCGTGAACACGTCTTTGTTAACTCAGGTTTCTCTTCAAAGTCAAGATAAGATGAAGAAAAATTCACGTCGTTAGTAGGTGCAGCAATTGAGTGAGTTAAATGACTATGATAAGCATCAGCTGCTGCTACTAATGGCCGCTCTAAAGAATCTGTGCAGTCAAGTGCAGACACTGCGCTATACTTCGATGGCGCAGTCATAACCATCAGGATATACTGCGCTCAACAGAATCTAAACTGCAGCCAAATTCAGTGGTGAAAAAGTGAGTTTGTGGTGCATTTTTCATCTACAATTAAGAAGGCTTTAAATAATTCATGAGCTATGCGGTGCGGATAATGAAACGGACTGAAAAATGCTGTACATTAAATTTGCTTCTCGATTGCAGCGGTTCTCTGTTCTCCAAAATTTTCATGAATTTTTTATTGTGATTTGTTTAATAGCGTCTTGATAGCTAAGCTGCTATGCGACATTGATAATTTCTTCATCTTCAACAAAACATAATTCACAATTCCTTAATATTTAACAGAATCGATAAATGGAAGAAATCCTGATATAATTTTTTAGATAATGATATTGAACGCGTCGTTAATTATAAGCCAATTGGGAAGTTTCCCAGCATAGAATTAAACTCGTGGACTCAGCAAACGTGATCAACACAGTTTCCAATTTGTGAGACGGTAACGAGTGCATGACTCATATTTTCATGGTATTGGAACTAAAGCACCTAAATGCTAAGGCTATATAGTGTAGCTTATATGAGCCAGAGCTAAATAAATTGAAACCATATAAGACGAGGATATATATATACACGAGTATATTGTAGCCATGTATAAGCAATAGAGCTATATATTGAAGCCACATAAGACGAGGATATTCCAGTTTAATCGACCCGTATGAGTCAGAGCTACCTATATATTGAAGCTATGTGAGCCGGAGCTCTATATATTAATTATATTGTCTCTGTGAGTCGGAGCCATATCATGGGCCCACGTGACTAGGATAGTTAAAGTATTAAGCTAAGCTTTTTCGATAGATTCGAGCATACAAATATTGAGGCATGTAAGCTTTTCGACATTCAATATTTATTGGAGGCTTACTTTTGTTACCGGCTCACCACTAATAATGACTAATTATTGAGTAATTCTAAAATATGACGCGGCATAATTTAGAACGCCTGCTCTGTGGCTGCTGGTGAAGCGTGAGGCTGGTGTAGCGTGAGGCTGGTGTAGCGTGAGGCTGGAGTAGCGTGAGGCTGGTGTAGCGTGAGGCTGGTGTAGCGTGAGGCTGGTGTAGCGTGAGGCTGGAGTAGCGTGAGGCTGGAGTAGCGTGAGGCTGGTGTAGCGTGAGGCTGGAGTAGCGTGAGGCTGGTGTAGCGTGAGGCTGGAGT